CACACCGGCTCTGGGAGCCCCCTCAGCCTTCGAACCAACTGGTTCCACAAACTCTTTCGTCCATGGGATAAAGTTGTGGGAGCGTGAAACTGAGAACTGACCCCCACACGTGGGCGTGTGATGCTTTGCTCTCACTTAGGAACTAAACACTGAATTTCATGCTTTTTAATCCGACAATTCATATCATTCCTGAAACCAGTCAACACCCCTGGTTGCAAAGCTTGGGCCCATACGCACAAATCCAAAACCTAACAATACGCCCCTTTGATACGACAGGGCCTACATAGAAAATGAAAAGATTTGAGGTAGGGATAGGCAGACACCCATACAGCAAGATGATCTCATGAACTTCCCAACAAAAATTAGGGGGGATATACAGACATAGAGGATGTGGAGGTCATAACCCTCATAAGCCTAAAGGGGGGGGTACACAGATACACAAACATATATAAACACGGATACACAGACAGCAAGGTGGTCTCATAAGCTTCCTTTTATTTTTTTAAATAAGAAAAATAGGAAAATACTCCAGATGACACAAAACAGATGTATAAGGATGATCGGGAAATTTTCTAGCGCGACAAATGTTATCTTCCTTCTTGCAGAGTTCTAAATTCTTAAATTGGACGATTACCTCGAATTTGTAACCACAGACACGTTTGGAAAGACCATCATCCACTCCAGCGAGCCAATAGGACAGCTGTGTGTGGAACCTGTTGATCAGGATCATGTTAACATGCACGGGGCACCGAGGGCCACACTCCTGCAACGATGTGTGGAGATAAGCCATAGAAGCGGAGGCTGGAGTGAGATGGCTACCAGCATGGGATCCAGTCAGTAGAGTGGAATGATTTGGTATGTGAGGCAGACGACTGTTACTGCTAGAAGCTGGTTGGATGCCGTCACTAGGCAACTGCTAGGGAAGGCTAAGAAGACTGTGCATGCTGCAGTCGCTTTGGAGTGTGCCACTCAATGAGATTGTCGTAGTTTTTGTAGTTACATTCTGTAAGTGTTCAGTAAATCCCATTACCAATCCAAACCCCGTCTATAGTCACTCTGTCACGTGACACTTTTCGATTATCTTTCCTCTTTCTTTCGTTCAGGTTTGCCACACCATCTCAGCGCTCTGTTTTCCACGTTTCTTGAAATATTTACAGTACAGCCAGCACAGCAATATTTATTATCGCAAGTTAATACGGGCTACCGGTTTCCGTGACCTATATTCGCGCCTCATGTAACGAAATATTGACGTAAGTAGCCAAACACAAGACCCTTTAGGTTAGTTTGAGAACACGATTTACATTTACTGAACCACCTATGTATGACCGAGGTTTGATATATAATTTTGTGTGTGTGTGTATAGGGGGGGGGGGGAACAGTTTAAGTTGATTCCAGTGAATTGTCTTCGTTGCTAAAGAGCAAGACAACCATCGAGTGTAAGGCAATTTTACTAAAATCTTGAGTAAATAAAGTCGCCTTACATGCTTCGGCCCTATGAAAACTTTCTTTAGAGGCTCCTGTAAAAAAAGCAAAAAGAAATTTCTTGCGTGATATCTTCAATTATAGCTCAGACCATGTAGCGACAAGCTATGTGCTGGACACCCATGGAAGCCGGGTCTGATTCCCGGTAGTGGCAAAATATTTCTCTCTTCTCCATAGCTTCCAGACAGGCTCTGGAGCCCACATAATCTGGTATCAGTAGGTGCCGTTGAGTCTGTTTCCGGAGTAAAATCCCCGGGCGTGAAAGCTGTCGTTCACACTCATCCAGTACCGAGGTTAATGTGTGGATCTACACGTACACTTCGGCTTTCCCATGCGTCTTCATTGCTTTGTATAGGGACAGGTTTAGATCTGCCTTTACTGGTGGAAACGCATTGGCCTCTTATTGCCTCACATTTCCTTCTGCATATGTTTATATTGCGACATGTTGACCCCTACCTCCCCAGCTGCACTTAGCGGTAACGTAGCCCTCGCGTAATAGGCGAGTAATCACCCCGCATCCTGGTAGCTATGCAACGCGCAACGCGCGGTGACGTCACGAGCGTAGCCGAAGTGAGCCGAGCGGAGCAGACGTTAGCCGAGTCCCCGCGACCTTAAAACTATGCAAAGCGAATCAACAGCGGTGACGTCACCGAGGGATATCGCGGTTGCTAGGCAGCAGTCAACAACTCCGGACAGCGTGGCTATCAACACGGCACCAGACGACAATTGTCCGATCGAGGCTACATAAGGAGCAGCGAAGGCTATTCACAGTCAGTCAGTCAGTCCTGGAGCTACCTACGAGTCAGTCCTCGAGCTACCTCCGACTTAGTTCCGAGTTATCCACAAACCAGTCAGTTGTATTGTGGCATTCGGAGTGTAGTATTTGTGATACTGCAGATAGCAGTAGTTCTAAAACTGTCAATTGGGTGATTGTGCGTGCGAATGTGAAATAAAATTCGTTATATCCAATACGGCGTGAAGTTATTTGTCGCGTTATACGCCCAATACGCGACAATATATATGTACATATACATATGATATGAGCCGGGATACCGTAGTCAGTATAGCGACTAGCTACGGGGAGGACGACCGAGGGGTTGGAGTTCGTGTGCCGGTAGGGTCAAGAATGTTCTTTACTCCACGACTTCAAGACCGGCTCTGGGGTCTACCCAACCTCCTATCTAATGGGTACGGGGGGGGGCCCTTTCCTGGGGTTAAAGCGACCGGGGCGTGAAGCTGACCACTCATCCCCAGCTGGTGCCGAGGTCAAGAAAATGTGGATCTATACATCCACTCCCGCATACGCCTTCATGGCGTAGTGCTTAATTAGTTAAGCACAAGGACAACTTTAAGTTACCCTTAGTTAGTAAGTTATTGGAGAGGGTGGGTTTCCCCATGCACTTAGACCAGTATTGGTCTATTGTGCTTCCCTTTATGATATTCTACCAGTCTCTATACCCTACCGATAAATGGTGCGTACCATCAGTCCCGCCGAGCAAGCGAGTTCGGGCACTTGCTTAGCGGTGTCTGTAATGCCTCCCCCATCTATCAGAGGCCTTAGATACTATTTTTGGGCGGGAATCGTTCTGGAATTTGGCTCAGTGATCTGCTTAGGAGATATAAGGTTCTTTTACGTGCCGTAAAGTTACGAGACGGGACACACAACTTAAAGTCCCTTCCGGAGGACTTGTTCCCTGAATTTTTCCTCCCTTAATAAATTCGAAGACCTCCGACGCGTATTTGAACCCGCGTACCACGAGTCATGAGGTGGTAACGTTACCTCTGGACTACGGAGGTCGCTTAAGTTACCCTTACAGGTACATATGATAATTTCGTGTGAGGTACATCAGTATTATTAAGAAAATTCGGTTTGTCAAAGCAATAAATTTTGAAGCGTTAACATATTGCATTAACATAAGTTACTAGTAGGTCAGGAAAGAGCTAACAGTCTTTAGTTCTAGTATGTCGGGTGTAGTATGCTCTTGTGGCGTATAGACCCGTTGCTAAGCGGTGACTCTGTAAAAAACTACCATTTCTGTGCAACGGCTGGTTAAACACGTTCCCGCGGCAACGAATACGCAACAACAATAGAATTACTGCTGGAAATTGGATGTACTCTATGTGGTCCATACCGAAATGTTATAAGCAGGGGACAAGAATGAGGTGTGTTCAGTTCTGTACGGGAGGCTGTGAAGACAAGGTTAGCGTGTGACGCTGAAGAACCTGCACTGTTAGAAGCCGTTGCGAGGGAACAGCTGGTGAAGACACAGCAGGCTGGAAAATGCTTTACGGTTGCTGTGGCTATTTGTGAATTATGGAGGTTAGCTGCTTGTAGTTCCGAGTCGCGTGTATAAGTGGTCAGTAAATCCAATCCCCGTCTATAGACACACATCTACATGTGACGCTGTATAAAAGGGGCAGTTTCCGATTCACTATGTGCGTGTTATTCGTAGGAGATTGAGTTAAATACCGGCCTCGGCGCATCATTCTTTAACACGTACGGGAGGGAGCGGGGTAAGTTAACAGCGCGACAATTTTGATTACTACTAATAATGAGACTCTGTCAGCAGCGTAGGCTGTATATCGTTGGACGGCAGGATGACAAACGAGCAATGACTCGAACACCACGTGGAAGGAAGCACAGCTGGTGTTACTGTAACTTAAACTGGTATACCCACTTTCACGGCTCGGCAGATTGTCAGTTTGTTCAGTCCGGCACACGCTGATAAAGTGCCTTGAGGTTTGACAAGTGATGAAGGCTGAGACGGCAAAGCGAGGTTGGGAAAGGACTTTTAATCATTAAATTAAGGAAACTCCCTTGACTGTAAGGGCCCTTGACTTTGAAAACTAACAGAGACTGTGTAACTCTGGAAGTCATTCGACCGAGAAGGTAGTGATTCTGTTTGGGGGGAGGAATCCGTTTCGAATCTCGGTTCTGAATACCGGTTATCCCGACCGATATTATTCGTGGTTTTTCTCGATACCTGTAGGCCAGTGGTTCCCAAACTTTTTAACTCTGAGCCCCCCTGAGAAAAGAAAATACTGTCAGGACCCCAGCCTGTTTTTTTAATCAAAATATGTCATGGTATTGTCTCATGTTCGGAATCCAGAAGACACTTCCATAGTAACGCTTGAAGAGACCGTTGCATAGGTAGCGACAATAGCGGTATTGTAGCCCCAACAGTTGGCCGTTGCGTAGGTATTGGAGTATCAATAGGCAGCGTCTCCCGGTGATAGACAACAGAAGGCTCATTGTGTAGCAACCGCCGAGATATAAAAGCCCAGCTTCGACAGATACAGATGGACTGGCCGAGATATTGTAAGCAGTCATTGTAATACTGCAAGTGCAGTGCGTGTGGTTGTATAAGTGAAGAACAATAAAGGTACTACTGAATTTGAGACCTACGTGGATTTATTTGTTGCGTGACACACAAAGCACGTAACACTGGTGTCAGAATTGACTTCGAACTTTAACACGCGTCCTACAACAACAACAAAATGGAAATGCAGCCGGTGGTGAGTGAGTGCTCGCAGCAGCAGACCCCGCGGACCACCTCGAGCACCAGTAGCAGTAGCAGCAGTGGGTCGGCCTCAGCGGCTAGCTCGGGCAGCGCAGCTGGCATGGCCGTGGCCCGCGTGCCCTTGCCCCCGCCACCCAAGGTCAATACGCCCGTCGCAGAGAACTGGTGCTACACTCAGTTTAAAGTGGTAAAGTTGAGCTATATGTGGAGCATCACCAACATCAGCTTCAGTAGTGATAAAATGGGCGAAATTCTCGAGTCATCCACATTCTCTGCTGGGGCAAATGATAAGCTCAAATGGTGTTTGCGTGTGTATCCAAAGGGTCGGGATGAAGAAAGCAAAGACTACCTCTCATTGTACCTGCGTCTAGTCTCATGTAACAAGTCAGAAGTCAGAGCCAAGTTCACACTTTCAATACTAAATGCCAAAAGAGAAGAAACCAATGCTACGGAGTCCCAGCGTGCATACCGATTCGGGCAAGGCACAAAGTGGGGCAGCAAGAAATTCATTCGAAGAGACTTCCTGCTGGATGAAGCGAATGGTCTGTTGCCCGATGACAAGCTCACATTATTATGCGAGGTGAGCGTAGCAGTGGATAGTGTAAACATCTCGGGACAGTCAAATGCGACACATTTCAAAGTGCCAGAGTGCCGTCTCTCAGACGACTTCGGCTTTCTGTTTGAAAACCAGAAGTTCAGCGATGTGACCTTGT